AATCGAACCCTGGGCTCCGCGGTACTTGATCTCTCAGGTTATGAGAGCGCGAAATGTTAGCCACTACACCATACCGGACGATGCTGCTTATGATACAGGGGCCCGAGAACGTCGCCTAGATTCGTCATCGCTGGAAGATGCAGAACACAGTCACTATTGTATCTGGTGACCTCAGCCGGGAACTCGGCCATTGAGGCTTCAATTAGGAGAGGCTTCTTCTCAAGAGTCGCTATTGCATTGGTCTCGATCGAGAAGGGCTCCTCGATGGTTGTTGCATTGCATTGCATAGCGATACTCGGACAAGTCCTCATTCGCAGCGCAAATCTCATCCAGCCAGCTTCGGCTGCACTTTCATCGCACAAGGCCTTGTTCTTCATTTCCTTGCTGAACCTCTTAATGATAGAATGAAATACCAGTGGTTCAATTTGAGGAAAAGGATCGAGGATAAACTTGAAGTATTCGAGAAGGAGTTGATGGTGAAACAGACGAAACTTGACATATATATTCATGGTACCCCGTGACCAACGCCTGAATGGATATAAGGACAACTCTGAACCTGAGCGACTCAGTCAGCAGATCAGATCTCGAAGCACTGACTCCGATGTGTCGAAGGAGCTATAAGTGGCTCCCCAGCGTCTTAATCTACTCGTAACTGAGAGACTGAACTCATCGATCTTTTCCATGAAATTGCCATCAGATTAGACAAGGACTCGGGCAACAGTTACTGACGCCTGAGGCCAGAGATTTGTGCTCTAAAGGCCAACTAGAAGATTTTATTTAGAAGCAGAGACCTGCCTTGGAAGTGAACGAGACAGACTGTAAACTCATGGAAAACTTTATATGAGATACCTTGGTTGGGCATGCATCTTCAAAGATGTGAAGTACTTTGGTCGATAGGCTCCCACTCATAAGCGATCCAAGGAGATCACGGAGAGTGCTGAAGAGATGATAGCTGAGTTTATATCCGGTGGGATATTTAATTTGGGTTGGTCTTGGATGACAGTGAATAAGTCGCAGTTATTGGTGAGTTGCCTTGACACCTTTCAAGTTGTCTCAGCACTGTGTTATATGCCTTAGGCAGATAGGTCTTAGGATGAGTTTAGGATAGGGATATTTTAAAAGGCCGTGTTTATTCGCTATTCCCACTTCTTCCTTCTTCTTTCCTCTACACCTCAAATTATCTCAACAACACATCTCAACACCTGAGGAATTAATATCAACCCCAAAACCATAAGCCTCTTCTGGAAGCCATCGCATTAAAGCTTGCTATGACTTCTGAAGCAATTGACTTGACTGGTGCCTCGCCACTGACAGGTAAGTCAAGTACTTTCTCTTCTACATAAACTAATAAATAGATTAGCAGGCACACCGCCTCCTGTAATAAAAAGAGAACAACCTCTACCACTAGCTACTGTCCCTCGAGAACAGGCATCGACACAGAGCGCCTTCTTTCTGTATGAGAAAGAGTGTCGCCTGGCCTGGATCAAGTACCTGGGCCTCCTGGGAAGGGTCAGACTCCGCGAGGGGGCTGACGGGCACCCATTTTTTCACGGGACGCCCCCTGCGATGCATGAGATCGCGCCAGAAAGACTAGATGTGATCCAGAAACAAGCAATGAGAGACCCTAGGAATTCGCTCATCACCATCAGCAAAGTCTTGAACGTCCTCAGAGACCGGCCCCAGCAGTCCCACATCGCATGGGGCGTTCTCCAGCAAAGGCTATCCGATCCGCGTATTCAAACTAACGCCCCTATCATGAACAGATGTTTGATGTAGGCCATCGAAAATTTCACCAAAGACCGGGACGTTATCAAGCGCTGGGAAGCATTAGGCTCTCGGAACTCCATGCATCTCTTGAACCCCGTCCAGGCGTTGCCCGAGCAGGCTACGGCCTACAAAGAAATCCAACCCTCTATGTTCCGCTTAGTGGGTATTCTGACAAATGAGGAAGACCCGGCCAGTTCCCCAGGCTATGTGCTCCCTATGGCGTCTTTCGAGAGGTCAGTCTGGAAAGGGGAGAAGGCGTTGAATGAGATTGAGCGTCGAAAGTGCGCCGATATGGCGCTGCGATCCCTGCAAAAGTTCATGGATTCACAGAAGAATGAAGAGGTGATCAGCAAGATGATTGAGTTCCAGAAACATTATCAAGCTTTGGCGGCTCTGAGCTCGAAGTGAGCTCGAAGGGCAAGGAAAATGGGATCCGCGAATTGTGTTTACGAAGCGGACAGAAATAGGGGAAGGGATATTTTTGACATGAAGACGAAGAGAGATATTTTGCTACAGTGATGGAACAAGAACGAACAGTTGAGGGATGAAAGAAAGGGCTTATGAAAGTAGTTGAATTGATGATTTGCAACACCACATCTTGATGCTGTGATACAGCCAAAGGTTCTAAATATCTCGTAACACTAGCTAGAGGAGATGGAAATCTTGGACGCCTATCCCAATGACAAAAATATTCAAGCAAATTGAGTAGACCTTTATATTTATTACCTTGATTCAAGGTGTCAGATGTTTTCTTGCACCTTGAGGAAAGGCATCTTCTCCAACGTAACCTCACCATCAAAATAGAGAGCGACTGTCTATTCTCAAGCACTAGGGACAAACTTTAAAGTCCCTGCGCGTCCTCCATCCGGATTTGCCAGAGCGACGTAGGCTCAATAACCTGGCAAGGCAAGTTCAGATGAAAAATGGCGTCTCCATGAGATCTAATGGTCTCTTTAAGACACTCGTGCCTGACTCTAAGCTCCACCGAATGGAGCTTAGCAACATCCTCCCATGCCTCCAGGACCTGTCGACTCACTTCAAGGTCCCAGGTTCCTCGCCAGGTGATATGGGCGTAGTGCTTTGTCCTGGTATAGATGAATCCACAAGCCTCCCCTGTCCCTCCATTCCAGAGGACCATGGTGGTCAGGTTCGGCATTCGCAGTAAGAACTTTGCTGCGGTGATAAGAAGGCTATCAATGCGCTGGTCCTGTCCCTTTATACTCCGAAAGAGAAGACTTGATGTCAGGGAGAGAGATTTCAGGTGATCCCATGTCCATTCTTCCTCGCATGCCTTGAAGAAGTTCATAGCATCGACATAGAATGAGACAGAGAGTTCATCGAGGGTCAGACTTGTCTGAGCGGTGCTCTTGGTGATGCCGACGAAATCGAACTCCGACATATCTTCCGGAGAAATACTGACGTAATTTCCATCTTGAAGGGCGCGCTCTGTGAGGTATTGTTTGGAATCCTGAAATATAGTCAGTCTTTTGAGAGTCTCTGGCATGCCTGTGGAAATAAAAGCCCTCTGCCATGGATCCAGATAGATACTTGTATATTCAAAAGGCCATGGTTCGTAAATGAAATCCGTCAGGCGGCTGAATCTAGACAGAATATATTCGAGTTCCCAAGGCTCAAAGGAATGACGGAATTGCCGACGGATCATGAAACGGGTGACTGCGTTGACCTCGGGAATTCGTCGCAAGTTGGGAGCATACCGCGTGTCGATAGGCCCGAACAGCCGCTCATTTGCGGTGGAAGGTGGAAGTTTTGTCTGGACACCGTTCTCCCAACCGTGTTTGGGGTCGTGCCAGTCACTCTGCGTTGCTTGCATGGGGATGACTGGGTCTCGGGCATAAGGAGCATCGTGCTCGTCATTGAAACGAAAGTTCTTGAACCAGTGCTTCGAGTCACTAGCAGACGACGCGTTGAGTTCCAAGGTCAAAGGGAGTGCCGTGTTCCAAGTGCTGAGAATCATCAAAAGCTTAGAGACCGCATTATTCATAAGACGGTTATTTTCCCAGGGGATGTTGATATCATACTCATCCTCACAAGAAGAACATTCGTATTCGGCCAGATCTACATTGAGATAGATGTGCCTCACGAGATCTCTCTGTCGAACCACTGCTTGCTCAAAATCTTCCAGACACGAGGGTCGGAGGCTCAGTTTGGCCATGTTTCTCGTTCCGATAACGATTTGCCACTCTTTAGACACCGAGGCCAAAGCAGACCAGCGAGGATTTCTCTGATCGACAATCGTGTTTAGAATATTGAGGCGAATCTCTTGTGGCAGATACGACCACCCGAGGCAGCCTGAGCTGCGAAGTCTCATTTTGTGATGTTGGGTTGTTTGGTTAGCCATGATGAGAAGGTACTGGAGGAGCGAGGAGGAAACAAGAGAGCAGTCTGGTAAATCCAGTATTTAAGGGAAAAACTCTTCAGAGTAAAGTTTTGTGTATTAAAGCTAAAGTATTGTGAGGAGTGCTATTGAGTTTCTTGTGAGATAGGGTTCAAAAGTGTAATCTAGAGAAGTGATCAGTTTGACTCTGTTCGAATGTAACATAGTAGTAAGACGAGGCATCTTATTCGCCATCTGAGAACCTCTGGAATATCGTTTCAGGAATCTGCTTGCCATCTAACTTGGTATGGGCATCATCACTTGGGGGCGAGAAATCTTTCCACAAGGCGCAAAAGTATATAGTGGCTATGCTCAGCATAGGCATGATCTTGTTTCGAACAATGAGCGCTCTGGAGAATGACAACTTTTAAAAGGTGATGTCGTGAGCCAGTCTCCTCTCCATGTTGATATCTTAGAACAGAGGGAAAGCAATATGATGGATGAATGAAGAAACATCCGAACGAGGGGCCAGTTCTAGTACAAGGATCATGATCCAAAACGAAGGTCAGACCAGTCAACGTCGACCCTAGAACCGAGCTCTTGGCGAACAACGAGAAAGGATACGACTCGCGAATGCGAAAAACGAGGGTGGATGACGATACGTGATACGCGGACAGTCTCTAGTCAGGCCAGGTCAGCCTAGTAGGGATTGACTCAATTGGTCGAACAAGCAACTAAACAATAAGAGTATTCGCATTGAACAAATCTGCCTAGAAATGATTGTTATACGAGTATAACGCACGTATAATCGTATTGTAGTGAAGCCTGGAAGATTGTAAGGGTTGAGGTTGAGTGCGTGCAGAAATGACGAAGGACCCGATGATCCATCCATTGAATGGATGTTACGTCATTTTATTGTAGTTGGAGTTAGGGGTTCAATTCACCTGAAAAAGGCAAAGAGCTGTCATCAATTCGGCCCCCAGAACCGCTGACCACTGAATCCAACTGTAAAGTAGCACCATATTTGAGTATCTGCCTTACATCCACAAGAAAACAAGAAACAAGTCAAGAGCTCTTGGCTTCTACTACGTCGTTCACTTCCTTCCGCTCCTTATTTCAGGCTTACAACCGCATCCTCTCCCTCCTCTTCTTATCTCCCCTCTTTTGTCTTATCATATCGTCTTGACGACAACGAATCCACGGCATTCGAGACAAGACCGCTTTAGGGCACATTTGCTGTCGTGTCTCACGTTCCCGTCTATTTTTGTCGCTTTTCGTTTCCAATTGTTTCGTCTTCTTCCGCGGGCGCCGAGTTGACACTACTGCCGAAACTCTATCTTCCTCTCCAAGGCGAGGTCGAACAAATCCTCAACATCTACCACGACATCTACGACGATCATACGAATATATACTATACACATTTACGAACATGAGCTCTTCCATAGATCCCCTTCCCAATGGGAATGGTCACGCGGGTGATCATGACCACGTTATACGCCCTCGACCGCGCAAACCGAAACATTCACAGGTCTCAGAGGTTCTTCGCATGTCAACAGCAGAAGATAGCGAGGGACACCTCATGCCCGATAACTTGAGCACAGGAACTGCCAGTGGGTTGACTAGGTATGATTGAACCTCCAAACCATGCGCTCAAGCTAATTGTATACAGTGGTCGTTCCACGCCCGTCCCGGAGAATGCGCCTCCATCCATTAAAGTCCTCTCGACAGTTCGAAAGCAAACCCGTGCAGAGCAACGCCGCCGTATATTTCCCACGATCGAGTTCGCATCGCGTCTTAGTCATTTCGACCCCGAAAGCGATTACCGAGACTTCCATGGCTTCTTCAACCTCTTCTGGATCGGCCTTGCCATCATGGGCATCACCTCAATGCTACGCAACCTCAAAGATACCGGGTTTCCTCTGAGAGTGCAAATATGGGGTCTCTTCACAGTAAAGCTCTGGCATCTTGCCATTGCTGATTTCCTTATGGTCGCAACGACAGCTGTTAGTCTGCCATTGAACCGTGCAGCTCGAAGTGCAAAGCCCGGTAGCTTTCTGTCTTGGGATAAGGGTGGAATAGCTATTCAGAGCATCTACCAAGTTGCTTGGCTTTCGCTTTGGATTGTTGTGCCCTTTCACTTCGAATGGACCTGGACGTCGCAGGTGTTCTTTCTCTTGCATACCATGGTACTACTAATGAAGATGCACTCGTACGCTTTCTACAACGGACATTTGTCGCAGACCGAGAAGCGATTGTACGCTCTCGACAACCCTTTCTCGCCTCACGATCGACGACCGGCCTACCAATATCCATCCACCGACAGTGTCGCTAATGGCGAGGCTACTAGCTCTGGTAGTAAGAAGCGCCGTCGTAACCGTAGCAAGAAGCGACGGCAAGCCAAGCGCAGCAACAGTGATGGAAACAAGAGCAACGAGGAGGTGGATGCTGTCAACAACAACCTTTTAGTACCCAGTCCTGTCGCAAGCGGCAACAACAGTGCCGACGAAGTCGATGAGTTGCGAGAAGATCTTGCCCGTGAGCTTACGAGTCCCATTGGCAACGTCACGTATCCGAACAACCTCACCTGGTCCAATTACATGGACTATCTCCTCTGTCCAACGCTCTGCTACGAGATCGAATACCCTCGAATGCCCCGCATCAACTGGATTAATCTGATTTCCAAGATCATCGCCACTTTTGGTTGCATCTTTCTCTTAACCATTATCTCTGAAGATTTCATTCTTCCCGTTCTTATCGATGCCTCTGAGCGCCTGGATGCTGTTCCCGCAGTATCATCGCTTTCGGAGAAGTCGCTCATCCTAGCGGAGACCATCTCGTGGCTTCTCTTCCCTTTCATGCTCACATTCCTCCTCGTTTTCCTCGTCATCTTCGAATACGTCCTTGGTGCATTCGCGGAAATCACTTGCTTCGCCGATAGACATTTCTACTCTGACTGGTGGAACTCAACCGACTGGATGGAGTTCTCGCGCGAGTGGAACATCCCCGTGTATAGCTTCCTTCGACGACATGTCTACAGTGCCTCTCGACCTCGCATTGGTAGAGGAGCTGCCACGGCGTTGACGTTCCTCATTTCTGCTATTGGCCATGAGATCGTCATGGCGTGTATCACCAAGAAGCTCCGCGGTTACGGCTTCGTGTGTCAGATGCTTCAACTACCCATCGTGATGCTTCAACGTACGCGATGGGTCCGTGGTAAGAAGACCTTGAACAATGTCTGTTTCTGGGCATCGATGGTTCTCGGTCTCAGCATGGTATGCCACCGTCCCCATAATCATGTCATACTGTAACTAACGACTTGACAGATCTGCGCTCTCTACGTTCTCGTGTAGTCAAACCAAGCTCTAGAAGAGTATGCTGGTCATACCGAGCGCTTGTCGCATCTGACATCTGTACAACACCAACCTAGATACATATCCCATCTCAGTTCCGTCTTATGATCCTGTACATATATGGGCTTTTAGAATTGGAAACGGGAAACGGACCAGGTACAAGAAGGAATGGACTGCCTCCACATCCAACAAAGATAGATTATATACCCCCATAGTAGTAAATTTGATTGAGTTATTGCTTCAAATCGTAACATGTCGGGGAGAAAGAATCATCGGACCTTGATTTAGGGTGTCAAAATAAACTTAGTAAAGATATCCTAAACTCATACCAAGTCAACTAACTCAGCAAAAATCATCCTAAACCTGGACTAAGCGGCAAAGGATATCCTAATCTTATACGAAGTTACCTAAGTCTTTTTGTCATTTAGATGAAATTCACAATTCACATCATTCAAGGACGAGACATCATGTTCTATACCATTTCCATTTCGCGTCTACTTCATCTCTCTCGTAATCATAGAGCTATAGAGTTACACCTCGTCCTCCTCTCAAAAGGACTGGGGAATTATGGCAGAATAAGCGGCTGCTCAAATCCGAGAAGCTCGCGTAAAAACCAGAAGACAGAAAAAAGACCTTGTTGCTCATAAAAACCGAAACCCTTCAACTCCATTCATTGACTTTTTGTGGTATCCCATTTAGCATGCGTGGTCATTTAGTCAACCTCCTCCATGGCGCTGTCACCAGTGGCGGCGGCAGGGGCATCGGTGGCGGCCTCAGCCTCAGCAGGGGCAGAGTCATCCTCCTCGATGTTAAGGCCGAGCTGAACAAGCTTGTGGATGCGGTCGGCGAAACCAGCGGGCTCGTCAATGGTGAAGCCAGAGACAAGGAGAGAGGTCTCGAAGAGAAGCTGGACGATGGACTTGACAGTGCGGTCGTTCTCGCCGTCAGTCTCAACCTTCTTCTTGAGCTCCTGGACGATAGGAGACTTGGGGGAGATCTCGAAGGTCTTCTTGGAAGACATGTAGCTGGACATGGATGTGTCACGGAGAGCCTGAGCCTTCATGATACGCTCCATGTTGGCGGACCAACCGAACTGGCCAGTTCGGATAGCGCAAGGAGAGGTGCCGAGCTTGTGAGAGACGACAACCTTCTCGACCTTGTCGCCGAGAACGTTCTTGAGGGCCTTGGCGAGGCTCTCGTACTCCTTCTCCTCAGCCTCACGGGCCTTCTTCTCATCTTCAGTCTCCTCGAGCTCGAAGTCCTTGGTGATGTCGACAAGCTTCTTGCCCTCGAACTCCTTGAGCTGAGTCATGGCGTACTCATCAATGGGGTCAACGAGGAAGAGAACCTCGAAGCCCTTCTCGCGGAGAGCGTCCAGGAAGGGAGACTTGGAGACAGCCTTGATGGACTCACCAGTGATGTAGTACATGTTGTTCTGGTGCTCAGGCATGCGGGTGACGTAGTCGGAGAGGGAGGTAAGCTCATCACCAGACTTGGTGGAGTTGAATCGGAGGAGCTTGGCGAGGATGGAGCGGTTCTGGGAGTCCTCGTGGATACCAAGCTTCAGGTTCTTGGAGAAGGCGCTGTAGAACTTGTCGAACTGCTCCTTGTCCTCAGCGATCTCCTGGAAGAGCTCAAGAGACTTCTTGACGATGTTCTTCTTGATGACCTTCATGATCTTGTTCTGCTGAAGAGTCTCACGAGACAGGTTGAGGGGAAGATCCTCAGAGTCGACAACACCCTTGACGAAGCCGAGCCACTCAGGGATGAGGTCGGTAGCATCGTCAGTGATGAAAACACGTCGGACGTAGAGCTTGATGTTGTTCTTGGTCTTCTTGGTCTCGAAGAGATCGAAGGGAGCGCGCTTGGGAACGAAGAGGATAGCGCGGAACTCGAGCTGACCCTCGACGGAGAAGTGCTTGACAGCAAGGTGGTCCTCCCAGTCGTTGGAGAGGGACTTGTAGAAGGAAGCATACTCCTCTTGGGAGATGTCCTGGGGGTTGCGAGTCCAGATGGGCTTCTGCTTGTTGAGCTCCTCCTCCTCGATCTTGGTCTCCTTGATCTTCTTGGTCTTGGGCTTCTTCTCCTCCTCATCGTCATCGACCTCCTCAATCTTGGGCTTCTTGTCGTCACCCTCCTCGGTGACCTCCTCACCCTCGTCATCAGGGACCTCCTTCTCAGTCTCCTTCTCGACGTGGAGGTAGATGGGGTATGAGATGAACTCGGAGTGCTTCTTGATGACCTCCTTGATCTTGCTCTCGTTCAGGTACTCGGTCTGCTCGTCCTTGAGGTGGAGGATGATAGCAGTACCACGGCCGAGGGGCTCACCTTCGGTGTCCTCGGTGATGGAGAAAGTACCACCAGCGGAAGACTCCCAGACGTACTGCTCGTCATCGTTGTTCTTGGAGATGACACGGACCTGGTCGGCAACGAGGTAGGCTGAGTAGAAACCGACACCGAACTGACCAATCATGGAAACATCGGCGCCAGCAGTTAGTGCCTCCATGAACTGCTTGGTGCCTGATCGGGCGATGGTACCAAGGTTGTTGACAAGGTCCTAGAGTAATGTTAGTATATGACATCTATGCCTGGTTTGACGTGAAAAATAACTTACAGCCTTGGTCATACCAATACCGGTATCCCGGATGGTAAGAGTCTTGTTGGCCTTGTCAGGAATGATGTCGATTCGGAGGTCCTTGCCAGAGTCGAGCTGGCTAGGGTCCGAAAGGGCCTTGTATCGGATCTTGTCTAGGGCATCTGAGGCGTTGGAAACGAGCTCTCGAAGGAAGATCTCCTTGTTTGAGTAGACGGTGTTGATGATGAGGGAGAGCAGCTGAGAAATCTCAGCCTGGAACTCAAAGGTCTCAGACATTTTGTCGGGTATCAAAGGGAATCGTGACTGTTGAGAGAAAAAGAGAGGTATGCGAGAAAAAAGGATGAGAGATGTGTTGTTTGGAAAAGAAGGAAGGTTAAAGAGCTGCAAGAAAAATATGTAGGCGCGGCTGGCCCCTCCTTCCTACCTTCCTTCCATCTGTTTCTGTGATTGTGAAGGTTCCATGAGATTCTACGGCCAAACCCCACCTAGCGCCGCTACCTAAGGTACCTACCTACAGGCAGCTCCCCTCTCCCCCGCCTTCCGCTAGCTCCATCGCTGAGGGACCTACCTTGCCTTGCCTCAGAAGGCAACCAAAGCAACCGTGTCGGTGGCAGACACTGGTACAGTTTGCCTCTGATTCCGTCCCGGTCTGCACCTTTGCGGTCTGCTATGGAACAATCTAGCCCGCTGTACCAGCCTAAGGGATGCAATAAACTTAGACTTCTGACCCTAAGCGACGAAAAAAACTTTAGGTAACTTAGACTAAGCTTAGGCTACTCTTTACTGAGTTTATTTTGTCACCTCTTCTAAAGTCTCGATTTTTCTTGCCCCCGAGGGTAGGTACATTGCTTACCCCAATAAAAGCACAAAGGGACCAGGAGGCAAAAACTGAATGGATCAGGCTCGAGCCATTGTTTGCTAGACTCTTCCACGTATCCCTTCACAAGCTCGACGTGTATCGCCCCAAATGTCTATCTTTTGCGAATTCAGGTACCACAAACCCAGCAGGCTATCCGAGTCAAACAATTAGCTACTGTGCTGGAAAAACAGAGATTTCATTGATCTACATGAATCATACAGAAACTCAAACTTGATGGCAAATCTACATTCAGTGTTAGCGTAGACAAATTGCTCCAGAGCCTTATCGTCTGGATGGATGGATCTTTGAACAACCCCTCATTCGAGGCTGAAAAAGACCCCTGTTCAAGTTCCTAGGCTTTCCATTTCAGAGTCCCACCGCTTCCGCTTTCTTACCCCAGCGAAAGCAACGACCCCTCGATCGAATCGAATCTTCTAGCCATACAAATAGACTGTTTGCGTGTGCTGCCTAGGCGGGCATTGCTTACGACGGCCAACTGTTTCAATTGAGGCCAGCCTATCTGCCAGTAGCCCAGGCGAAGTTCAAAGTGTAGCTGTCTGTGCTGAGCCGTATTGTAATTTGTGTAGACCAATGACATGCAATTTTGAAAGCAAGGCTGAGTCTCACTGTACAAATAACAAAAGCATGAAGCCGAGGTTGATCGGAAGGCAGATAGATTGTCTGAGATTAGCAATATGCTCAGCATCCATCAATCTTGGGCAAACTGTAAGCTCAATTGCTAAAATTGGATATTGTTTGTGATTCTTCTGGTTTGTTCTTAATCGAAGCATCAAGTGACCCTGATATCCACCTCAAACACAAGCGAGCGAGGGAAGGAAAGAAAGCTTAGGCCTAACCTTGGTCCTAAAGGATAAAAAGACTTAGGTAACTTAGCATAAGTGTATGAAGCCTTTGACTAATTTTATCTTAATATCTTATATCAGGGTCTGAAGTTTTCTTACTCCCCGAGGACGAGAAGAATTTACCAAAGTACACGCGATCAATCCCCTGGCATGAAATCGTTTGGTTCTACAAGTATTCCAGAATATCTCTAATTTATTATCATTTATCATGAATCTTCGAGAACCACGGTAACCCCATGTTCTTCACCAGGCCTTGTTATACAGGGTACTATACACTCTAACCAGCTTTTGATACAACCCCTATCACTTACATCTCCAACACCACTCCAACCTCTCTATACTTTCTGTCCGCATAGACGAGTCCAAAGCCTTCATCCTCCTCTTCTCCAACCCTCACCATCTCTACAACCTCTCCCACAACAATAACATGATCTCTTACTCTCAAGAGCCCTCCCTCTGGCGCATCTTGGAGTACCCTACACCGAAGTGCAAACATGACGCCGTCCTCTCTTAGTACAGGCGCCTCGTCATCTTCTTGGGTGTAATCCAGCCCCTTGAATGCATTCCCTCCAAAATTGCCTTTTGTAAAGTGACTCGCAACATTTGCGCCCCGCTCATCCCCTGATAGGACGTGTACGTTGAAACCACCACTTGCTCTTATAGCGTCCAGTGTTCTGCTCGGCGTGGCGATGTTGAATGTGACGAGAGGTGTGGGTGTGAGTGTTAATGATGTAAAAGACGACATCGTCATGGCGCGAGGGCCATCGCCGGGTTGGTTTGATGTACAGACAACGACACTGTGGGGAAGGAGACGCATAATGGAGCGGAGTTGTTCGGGCAGAGGGGCTTGTTTCGTCGGATGGATAGTCGGAGGCTTTGCTGGGGACGTATGCCATGTAGTTGCCGTCGCAGTTGTATGGTTTCTTCTATCTACAGTATAGCATTAGCTAGAGTAACAGGCCGTGGCAGAAACACTCACGATGCAGCGTCGATTGCGGCGAACGAGACCCCGACACCGAATCTGTGTATTTTCCACAAACACCAACTCCCCTTATTGAACGCTGAAGGTATTCAGTATTCCGGAAAGAACTGAATCCTCTGGTCCCGCCTCTCGTCATGACAAGTACTGTCGCAGCGCCATCGCGCAGCGCTCGGGAGCTCTTCATTGACCACCACAGCGCATTATCAACGAATGCACTATTAATAACCTTGGATAAACAGTAGGCAGAGCGTAAAGTCGCCTCGAGTAAATAGGCGCCTTTTTATTTCACTCGTTCGAGGTCGGAGGCCGAGCAGGTCTAGAAATGACGAAGAACGATTGCATTTTCTTATCGATAAGATCCCGATCCCCTGCTTGATGTACCCGCACTCGGACCTCGCATCCTAAATTTTACCGATCGACTTCAAGCCGTTGTGCCTAACTGAAGCTTCACCACCAACCAGTCTAGGTCGCCAATCGCTGTCAGGGCCGTCAATTGATCTTCTCCGGCCTTGCTCATAGCAGCGCTTCCGATTCACAATGGCCAAGTTCTCAGTGTCACCGGCGACTCTCTCGCCTCTACGAACAACACTCTCAACACCATGCTCACTAACCCGCCTCTCCCTCGGCCAAGTCCGTCATGCCACATTTATTCCTCGACCACGCCGACCATACACATTCACCCAGCTCGTTACTCTATCCGACGGCTCCGCATACACTATGCGAACGACTTCACCACTACCCATTTACCGCGCTACAAAGGACACACGCAACACATTGTTGTGGCAGCCATCCGAGAAGTCACTCAAGAACGTCGAGCTCGATGAGGCTGGTAAATTGGCTGCTTTCCGAGAACGCTACGGCCGTGCCTACGATGCCTCTCATGCTGAGGAGGGTGAAGGTGCTGCCGAGACAGCTGATGAGGGTTATGCGGACCTTATCACCGGATATGCGCCAACACAAGATGCGAACGCTATGAGGGATTCAGGACCTAAGAAGCAGGCTAAGAAGAGAAAGTAAACAAAGTGTTGTTAATAGAGAAGGAACGGCTACCACAAACCACAACCCTGTCAACTTGGGGGTGAAAATGAGTCTTGTCTAAATTACTACCTATTGAGGACATCCGAGAATTGGAAGCACGAGGTGGGGATGGGGGCGGTTCGATATGTACAACAGCTATAAAGCCCCCGAGGCTTGTAAGATATAAAAAACACGTGTCCGATTCTCGGAACTGATCAATAGTCGAACATCTCTGTGGGCGTAACTATAATTCCTCCTGCTATCAGGAGCTCGACCTCATCGCTACCAGATAGAACCGCCAAGATGCGTTGGAGAAACCGACGCTCGGTCCATCTAGTCCGAGTCTTCGTCTATCCTCGCCCGAGCGCGATCAACCGCAGTATCGCCTCCCTTTTGCTGCTGTTGCTGCTGGTATACTGGTGGTCTATAAAACACTGACTCGTCGTCTTCAGCGTCAAGCTGCATCAAGAATGTCTCCCACTTCTCAATAAGCTGTAAAATGTTAGCACGCTTCTTATCTTCACTGCTTTCACTGTACTCACCTCCTTTTGCGCCTCAACTGCACTTTCAAGGAATGTCTCAACACCACTCTTGAAGTCTTCCACCTTCTCCTTCTCAAATCGATCAAGCTCGCTCCTCATCAACCGGCCCATATCCTCGAAAAGAAGCCTGGCCTGGTGAACCTTGCGCTCTGACTCGCCAACTTCAGCGCTCATCTGGTTAAGTCGGTCTTGTTGACTCTTTCCTTGTCTCAAGAGCTTGTCCTGCGTGGCCTTCTTCTTCTGTAGTTCTGATTCCGCAGCATGCCATGAATAGAACGCCTTCTGTCGCTGGCCAAATGCCTGCTTGACTGAACCGATGAGGCGAATATACTCCTCAAGAATAATGCCGAATGTCAGAACATCCTGCTGGGCCTGACGGTCATACACATCTCGGATAGTAAGCTGGAGCTCGGAAAGAGCATCGAGAGGGCCTGATAGTGAGGGTGACAATTCGACGGTGGAGAGTGCGTGGAGGGAAGCTGAGAAGTCACCAGCTGCCTCGGCCATCATCTTACGTTGGCCAACCATGGTCTCCATAGCTTTGAGAAGTCCCTTGAGCTGATTCTCAAGAGCATCGAGATAGACCTTGCGATCATGAAACCAGTCGTCCTGTTCTACAAACTTATTTCCGCCTCCAACATTGATACCCAGAGACCCAAGCACACCCTTGCTCTCGGTAGGAATGGGTTCCCGCCTCTCTTTATGCTTAACGTCCACATTGAAAGTTTCGCTTTCCAAGAAAAGCTTCAGATCGGGATCGTGCTGGAGTGTGGGGTGTATCGCGGTCTTGTTAAGCATCTTCTCAAGAGCAGCTCGTCGGCTCTCAACAAAATTGCTGTCGAAGCGACCGACAGCCTGCTTCTCAGGAGGAGGTGGGACCACAATTCCAGGGTTGTTGCCATGGAGAGTCGTGTAAAGCCAGAGAAAATCGCGATATCGGCGCTTGACTTCAAACTCGGGCTGTTTATATCCCTTGGAAGTGGTCTGTTTCTCTGTGTAAGTGCTTGATTGAGTCAATTGGACGCCGGCGCTTCATACCTTGGTTCGAACGGAATAGACAATGTGGGAACTTGTCAGATCGCCAACTTTGTGAGGATCTCCAACCGTAATCTGGAACGTGGGCTTGGCAGCCTGCTCAACACTAACGCTCGGCTGATTGCTGCTCCTGACGGCACTGGGCTGGGCAGCCTCAACGGGAGGAGGTGCGCGAGGAGCCTTTGGCCCATCGTTCTCGTCATCGTCGATATGGTGAGGATCCGCAGGTCGTCGCTGCTGCTGGGGCTGCGGCATGGTGGTACGAATCACCATCTGCTCCTTTTGCGGAGGCACCGGAGGGGCATCCTGGGCAGAGCCATTGTCTTCGGTGGCGGCGCCGAGAGGACCGAGAGGATCATCGACAGCTTCGAGACGTGTGGGTTGAGCGACCAGCCGACGGGGTCCTCTTGATGGACGAGGGGCCGACGAGGAAGCGGAGGGAGCTGGGTTGGATGATTGCGAGGCCGCGGCTTCAGGCTGCGATGCCTGTTGCGATGCGGCCTGTGATGAGTCGGCCCAAGGCGATTCTTCGACGTCCATTTCTAATTAATGCGATCGCGAGACGCTACCTCTGTTGGGATTCAAAGTGGTCGAGGTTGATATGTAGAACGGGCTTGAGATGGAGGTAGAGGTTGGAAGCTTGGGGAGCATGCCTCCACCTACGCAGGCGGACGTCAGCGGAGACGGCCCCACTCTTCCCCGTAAGGCAGGGCAGGTACACTTTAAGAGCTTCTAAGTCGGTTTAGGGTAGTTAAGCAATAACATGAGGCTTGACTTGCAATATGAAGATCCATCATCAATGGATTTGTGCAGCAAAGATCTACAAGGGTTGTTTCCTTTGTAGTTTTATTGGGATGACCGGGAGATGATGGTCCCCTTCCTAAACCTTCCATCAAAGCAGCATTGCACTTATCATCTATCGTGATCCCGACTCCAGCTTTGCTTCCTTCTCCTTCAGTATTTCCTTGGCCTTTCCCCAGAGCTCTGCCTCCATATCCCTCTCAACTCTTGTCCCTCGACTGTTCAACCAGCCCGCTCCGATGTTGCCCACAGCTCCCACTCCGTTGGGCGTTGGTTTTGGGGTAATGGGACCCGTCTTATTCAGACGAGGAGGTGGAACAAGACTGATAATGTTGGCTTCTTCGAGTGCCATGACCTGGCGTTTGATCTTGACATCGACGGTGTGGAGTGCCTGGAAGAACTGATCTGTCGCAGAAGCGAAGGCTTCTTTTTGTGTACCAGTATCTAGTGATGGCTTTGTAGGTTCGGATGATGGATCCATGTTCTGGTCGGTTTCTGTGGATTTTGGTATTGTGAGTGCGTTGAGTGCTGTGGCAGTGTGTTTCATGAGCTGGATGATTTGCTGGTCGATGGCATTGAGCTGGCGGATGTTCTCTTCAATAGTGAATGGCTCGTTGCGTGATGATTCGGCACCAGCCATCTCCACATCATTTGGGGAAGTCATGACTGCGACACAAACTCTGAGAGCTTTTCGTGTATGTATGTGATGAAGTTGACGATGAAGGGTCCTTGGATTTATGCTCAAACTCTCGGTTGAACACAGGGCTCAGCTAGAACAAAGTTTTGTGATATTTCAAGGCAAACAAATACCGAGAAAGGATCATCAGGCTTTCAATTGTCGAAATCGCCTTATTCTGATGCAGGCAGATGAATGAAATGTAACAGAGTTCCCTGTGATGGTGAAGCTGAAGTGAGTTGAAGTGCAACGAAACGAATCTCAATGAATGAAAGAACGGGCGAGAGATACGTACCCGCTGTCATTGGCAGATCGCGGTGGCGGCCCGTGCGTGGGTGCTCAATCAATTGTTACAGCAGCAGCACGGTTTTATTAGGATAAACGTCAGGGCAAAGGCTCTTGAGAATCAAAAAGAACAACAAGAAAATCCTGAGTATTCAACTTTGGATATTCTTGTGCGTGTCACGCTCTTATTGTCTCATTGAGTTCAATATCATGTTGCGCCGCTTAATCATCGGTTAACCTCCCGGCGCGCTCTGCTAAGCTTCGGCGCGTTTGAACCATCCACGATTCACTTTAACTTTCAGCATTATTGAATCGAGGTTACAACTCACACAGACCTTAGGATCTCATCGTCTTCTTCGCTACAATCATTCATCTTCGAAGCATTTTACTTCCTAGATAAAACCGACCTACAAACTCTTTCGAATATCCGATAAAGAAGGACACTGCCACAGACTGGCAGTTTGTGATCTCTCATCTCATCACCTTGAAGAGCGACAGGAGCTGTCCCCCATCCGAAAGACACAGCTGGGGTATGACATATCGCTGAGGGACACTCACTCTCTACCAGCGCGTGGCGTAGATAGGCCGGATCGAACACCCACTCTCCAATACACACCCGACTTCTTCTCCAACAGTCACTGCCCTTCACTATGTCTGGGCCAGCACAAACACCAGGCGCACCCCAAGCGCCAGGCTATCAAGGGCCTGCACCAACACCTCCAGCTCCAACACACGCAACAGCAGCCGCAGCGACGGGCCAAAGTGGCTCATCGGGAGGCCCAATGTCGAATCAGAACCTGAACCAGATTGTAAGTTACTTTCTCCTTGTTTGTTTGATGAATCTCCATGGTTGTCTCATTCCATTACACCACCAACATAACGGCGACCATTATATCATCTTTTGCCAGTACCTCTTAGCACTCTCCACGACAACACATATCAAGCATCGGCCATTGCACATTGTCTCTATGTAACCTTTCCAGGGTGCTTATCTCGACTTCTCTTGATCTTGAGCCACAGTCACGCAGACCATCATCCATCCATTACACACCCAAATATTTGATCAGCTCGCGCACCATAATTATAATGAAAGATCCATCGGAATATATGATTGCTAAAGCCCAAGCACAGGTCACAGACTACTTGCTCAAGAGGGGCTTCAACCGAACTGAAGAGGTGTTTCGTCAGGAATCGAAACATCTCGGCCCTGACGGCAAGCCTATCTATCAACTGGCCAACCTCGGCCCCAAAAAGTACCAACGAGCCTTTGGACTACTACGCGAATGGGTCGAGAACAACTTGGACATATATAAGGTATGCCATGATCGCCCTCCTGCTGTTTTCTTTGCTGACAACCCCAGTTCGAACTGTCCAAGCTGCTGTGGCCCGTCTTCGTCTATTCTTTCCTAGAACTTGTCCAACATGCCTACACTGAAGATGCGAAGGCTTTCCTTAGAGACATCGGTCCTAACTTCCAGCCAGTACACGCAGATGATCTCAAGACCCTTGGTACCATTACACTACCACAACACATCAACGAGAACCCCATGACAAAGCTGTATCGGGAAAACAAGTACCGAATCCCTCTGAACCAACATGCCAGCGGTGATCTTTTCAACTTTCTGGAGCGCGAGTCGGACCAGGGTGGTTCCGTGATTCGCCAAGTCCTGGCAACCTACTGCCAGATTGATTCTACAGCTCGTGGACCTATCACCCCCTTTAGTTTCGAAGCTGTTTATAGAAGGTCAAGAAACATGGAAATAGAGAGCGTGGATACCAATGAAGGTATCCCGGGCGTTAACATTGGCTTGTCGAATAAGGACGTTCTCGACCCAACTGCTCCCCTGAAGCTTGGGCCGCTACCTATGGATGCCGACCTGCGCGACGATGTGCGAGCTGAGCTTGAGGAAGAAGAGCGACGAATTCCGCCACCTCCCGGGAAAACATCGCTAGTGGATGAGTTCGACCAAAAGATCAAGCGTGAGGAGAGTGCAGATGCCCCAAGCAGAGCAGAGTTGCCCTTACCACCCTCAAGGCCTAGGGACATCATGCTAGAAATGCAAAAGCTTCGAGAGAATCGGGACCGATTTAAGATCGACGGTGCGACGGGAGGCGTGGGAGTCCCTATCAGCGCATGCATGTTTACATTCCATAACACGCTTGGAAGGTGAGTTTTGACAGCTACGTGGGAAATACTGATACTGACAAGCTGCAGTGTTGCCTGTATGGACTTCTCCAACGATGGACAATTAGTGGCAGCTGGTACCACGGAATCTTACATTCGCGTTTGGTCGCTGGATGGTAAAGCCTTACCCACGATGAACGCGCACGAGAAAGAAGCGAAGTTCAACAGCCGCAAATTGATCGGACATTCTGGGCCTGTTTACGACGTGTCCTTCTCTGATGCTGTTTCTGGCCCTCCGCAGAAGCTCTTTGGCGACGAAGGGAAGTCGAACCCTGCCATGGACACGCGACCGAAGCTACTACTATCTGCATCTGCAGATGGCCAGATTCGTCTGTGGTCACTTGAGTCTTGGAGTTGTCTGTGTCTATACAAGTCCCACGATGGACCTGCTTTCAGGACACTCTGGGGTCCCCATGGACACTATTTCATCAGTGGAGGATACGACAAAGCTGTTCGACTGTGGATGCAAGACCATGCCTCCCCTCAACGATTGTTGGTCGGGCATGACACGTCCATCTCAGCGCTTGCATGGCACCCTAATGGCCTCTATGTCTTCTCCGCCTCTGACGAGACTGATAAGTCGATACGTATGTGGTCTGTCGTAACTGGCGGCTGTGTCCGCGTGTTCACAGGCCACAACGAATACATCACCGCCTTGGAATGCGCGCCAAATGGCAAGATCCTAGCAAGTGCCGATTGTGCAGGTAACATCTTCTTTTGGGACCTTGCGAAAGGAACACGCATCAAGCGGTCGCGTGGCCATGGTAAGGGCGGAATTTGGTCACTCAGCTTCAGCGTTGAATCCAACGTGCTTGCTTCTGGTGGTCAAGATGGCACAGTCCGACTCTGGGATGTCGAGCTGCCCTCTGATCCCCAAAAGGCGAGTCAGCAACAGACAGGCCTCGATGCGGCGGCAACAGGGGCCGATGGCACAAGCGCAGGAGGCCCTGCTGGTGAGGCTTCTCGCGTAACAGCCGCAACCTCAGGGCCAGCGGGTACCAGCGGCACCACCGGAACTCATAAGAAAAAGAATAAGGAGGTGATGATCACACCTGATCAGATCAGCGCGTTCCCGACGAAGAAGACACCAGTGATGAAGGTCAAGTTTACACGGATGAACTTGGTAATTGTAGGCGGCTGTTACGACCCCGAACGTTAGGAGCGGGAGGCAGTCGACCCAGTTGCTCGCGAGAAACGGCGAAGGCAACAATTTGCCGCTAATTTTGGAATAGATTTGGGGCCGACGGCGAGACCTCGCAAATAGTCGACGATGAAACTGGGCCAGACGATCAGGAGAGGCGCAATGGGCTACCTTCGTATAGCGTTCATAATCATAGGTATTGAGAATATTCAGCAAGGGCAGAATGATTCCGAATTTCGAGATTAAATAAAAAGACTGGTTTTCAGTGAACAAGCCGGAATAGAGAGCAGTCCACAGGAAATCGTATTGGGGCTGGGGGGGTCATTCTTCGCAAAAGAGCATGGATGTCCTGTAGTAATAGAATCTGAGTAATAACCACGAAATACTGCGAACCTATGACCATGTTTAATCACTGATTGCATATCTGAGTATTCTATGGTAGTCTTTTGAAGGCGTCTAAGTTAGGTATCTGAAGCTGGTTGATATAACAATACGGTGTTGACAGAAACAGGTGGGAATATCGTCCACACCAAACCATAGACTTCATCACATACGATCTATCCAATGAATGGAGTCAAAATCCGTGGTACCTGGGCCAGATGCGCTATCAACTCTGCCTTCTCATAGGGTAGTTAGGGCAAGGTAGTATCCTAAGAGAAGATGTGGACGGATATACGGACATCTAAACGCAGCACTTGTATTCGTAAAATGAAGTCCCATAAATCAGTGATCAGCTTTGGACCCATTAATGCCAAGACTTCTGATTCTTGGGGACGACTCCAACTTCGAACAAGCGATGTTCTTCTGCCGGATCCAGTATATTCTCGTTACTGAGACATGGTGAGATCAATGCAACAGCTGCATTCCCAAGGCTTTCTGTTCATATTCTCAGGTAATCGACCACTAGACGTGTAATAAACTGCTCACGAAAATACTTCACTTCATTCTTGGAACCAAGAGGACCAAGACTTGGGTACAAACATGGCATTCTTGGATTCGGGTATATCGGACCCAGTCGACGCACGTTGCTCTATTAGCGGACAATAAAGCTCCGGCATCCCCCCTGGTACTGCAGGAATTAGTGGGAAAGCACCGCGCCTGATATCAAAAGCAACCAATCGCCATCGCGCTTTGTGTAATGACAGCCTGCCGAATGCTCCGGAATGACGCCCTCAATCGATGGAGCCCCCTGGAACCTCAAGTTTTTGGAGGGCCCGAGGTGGGAAGTGGGAGAGGTTGGCGGCCTTTTTACTTGAACCGGATCGACACCAGGAAACAACTTTTGAGTTTGCCCAATTTCCTCATCTCCTTCTTCCTCGTCATCTTTGATCTCCCTAGAGAGGAGTTTTATTCTGCCTCGTTGTACAAACGCAGTCATTTGTTTGCTCTGCTCTCGGCGTCTCGCTATCTACTCGCTTATCGAGCCACGATCCTCCAGCGATTGCTGCTTACAATTGAATAATCTGGACGCCGCTAGACATCGACGATCCCCCACCGACGGTTGTTGCGACGGGAAGAACGGAACCGAGACTGCGATTGCTCACAATTTTGTACGAGACGTTGGATCGCGACATTGACGGAAATCAGACGACGAAACGGTCATGATTGGCGATTATAAGTCGAAGGCCCTTGCGGCGCCTTCGCTATTCAAGGTTGCGACAATTGCGCTTCTTGTCACAGCTGTACAAGCCCACGACCACGATGCAAGCCATATTCCCGAAGGCGAAACAGTCTCTTTGGAACCCTTGGTGCGTTCTACAGGCCTGAAAACTTGAGTTGGCGGCTGACGAGCAGCAGGATACGGTATTATGGATTCACATCTTCATACAGATGTTAGCGTACGGCGTTATCTTCCCTGTCGGTATGGTTTTGGGTGTAAGTAAACAAACCTACTCGGCCTTGGCAAAATACTGATGTCCACTAGATGACCAAGAATCGATGGCACGTTCCGACCCAAGCCGTTGGCACCATTCTCGCTATTCTTGGCTTCTTCCTTGGTCATGCGCATAAGGGCCGCGAGTTCATTCCGAATCACGTTCATGGCAAATTTGCGCACATTCTTCAGCTTCTCCTCGCTGCACAGGTTGTTCTCGGAATATACCTCAAAGGACATTGGGAGAAAGGCATCAATGGCAGAATTCGAAAGCTGATTCGTCCGTGCCATTCTTTTATTGGCAAGCTCATGCCAGTCCTGTCATGGACGCAGATGATCTTTGGTGGAATCACAGCTCTTGGCTTTTGCCAGGGAGATCATACAGGACAATGCGCCGCTCACTTCATCATGGGGGGTGCTTTCATCGCTTACGGAATACTTCTCACTATCATCCTTGTTGTTGGCCAGCTCTGGATCCGACGACATGGTCGCTCGCAGGAGTTCTACGATAGCGTTGCGATCGCTGCATGGGGCTGCGTCAACACATTCACCGAGCATCGATGGGGAACCGACTGGGTCAAGAACGATTGGCAACATACGACAATGGGGATCATCTGGTGGTCTGCTGGTTTGGCTGGTATCTGGCTAAGCAAAGACCGCGACGGAAACCCCAAGCGCAACTTCATCCCCGGCTTCGTCATTTTCATTACTGGCTGGGCCATGTCTGCCCATCCCCAGGAGTTGATGGTCAGTGCAGCTACGCACACGATGTTTGGATACACTCTCATGGTCGTTGGCATTACTCGTATCATTGAGATTGCTTTTGTGCTCAGGGACGCTCACTCTATCTCCGAAGATGGTCGAACTGCCAACAGCTTCCAATTTGTCCCAGTTTTTGTAAGTCAAACCGCATTTCACCATAAAACCTAAGCTAACATTCGCAGTTCATGTATGCCGCTGGATTCCTTTTCATGGGCGCTACAGAGGAGCAAATGAACCTTGTTGCTGGCTCCGCCATGGACCATGTTTCGTATATCCTTATTACCTACTCGCTCGCCTCGATCATGTTCCTCTTCGTCAACATGCTCATTGGTCTCTGGGACCGTCTTGCTCATCCTGTACTGGACACCAAGGAGCTCGGCAACAACCACTACGCCAACGGGCTCGCGGTGGAAGACGGTCAACTGCGGGATGCCCAAGAATTCGAGTTGGATGGATTGATGAGCGACGACGACGACGATCCTAGTCGAAGAATGCTCGGTCCCAATAGCGAGGATAGCGCAGCTACTGTTGGACGCAACCAACAAACTCGTGCTTAAGGGAGGAGATATGGTCTTCCGTGAGATGTACATTTGGGGACGGGATTAGAATGTTCATAGGGGTATTCGGCGTCATTTGATGGCATGTGTATGATGTTGAAATGACTCTTTGATGGCATGGGAAGCGGAATTTTCAGAATTGTATTACTTAGACATTTTAGGCGCAATTGATTGGGATTCATGATTACATACATCTTGTCTCCATGTGTTGATCTTGGAGGAGGCGTTCTGGAACATGCAGCTCTGCCGATCCCCGCGGCGGGGCACACTTTAGCGCATTCCTTACCGAACCTCCACCGAGATTTTCGACCCCAGTAAAAAAATAGTTTGGAACCTCTTATCGCAGAACTTCCATCACCACAACCAACGCATACAGTCACAATGCCTTCTGTCGGCAACCCCAACGGCCCATCCAAGAACCGCCTTGCGGCGCGCGCCTCAAGTGCCCGTAAAGAGCGACGAAAGCGATCACAAGCTCCCAAGGACAAGGTCGCAAAGGCCGATACCACACGAGGCGCAAGGCCAGGTCTTTTGCCCACGAGCGGACCTAGAGCCAAGGTGAGCGCCAAGAAGGCGCGTAAGATAGAGAAGAGACTGGCGCACGCTATGAAGAGAAAGATGGAAGCTGAGGGTGAGGCGGAGATGAAGGGTAAGTTGCTGCTTGGAGGGTTGGTAACAGAGTGCTGATTTGGATAGATGCGCCAGAGGGTGAGGGTGAGGGTGAGGGTGAGGGTGAGGGTGAGAAGGTTGAGGAGGTTGAGATGGGCGACATTCAGTGAAGGAAAGTTGATGGGGGAAAGGAAGACAAAACGACGAATGGACAACATCTGATAAAGAGTTCCGAAGAGGAGCTGTTGCAATGATGATGACAGCTTGCGAGGGACTTTACCACAGGCGAACCCACGGCGAAAACGAGACTTCAGAACGAAAGGCATTCCTGAGATCGAGGACTACATGAGGCTGGAAAACTGCTATAGACGGCACGAAGAAATCAGCGATCCGACTCCCATAAGGCTAAAGGTCGAGGTCCCAAAGTTACACATGTAAGGAGACCATAGATCTTCTGAAGATCAACTGAATTGATGATAAATCTTCTAACCGTGTCTGCCGAACCCATGACGGCTACAATTGCATAGTGAAGTTTCTGGATGGATATTTATGTCACAATGATATATCTGTCTGGCAATCTGGATTGGCCGTGATTCACTTACCTTTTAACAGCTCAGGCGCTAACTCACATTTCTCTTTATTTCTTCTCACAGCTGATAACTTCATCTTTACATCTTACATCTACACAATCTCAACTCGGAGCGCTCGCCCTTCCATCAACATGAGCACATCATCGCCTGCCCCTGGGGTACAGAACATGGCTCAGCGATTGACGGAAATTGTGCTCCTTAATCTGATGACCGCCGACTTCAAGAACCACATCTTCTACAACTCCAACCGCCGCCTCGAGGAAGCGAAACAGAAGGGGATCACCCTCAGCGACATCTCTATCGGAGACGACTGCCTTGCTACATGGACTGATCGCACTTGGGACCCCGATACAGCGTCTCTGCACGATTTTCTTCAAGAGGATGCCTTGAATCTTCTTGAAGCGCAAGAGGCTAGCGTTATGGTGCGCAGGGATCTCATCCGGAAGAGCAACCACAAGCTGGACGAAGCGAGAGACCTAGGTATTGCGCTAGAGGACATTCAGATCGGACTGAACTTGCTGCCAGTCTAGGGCGCTGCAGCAGACGAAGCGAATGCGTTTCTGCTCGAGAGCAATGGAGATGATGATGGCAGCATCAATGAAGATACACACTCTCTCGAAGCAACACCTCTCAACAATGAAACCGAAGACACTAAGAGCGACAGGCTCATGGACATAGACGATGCCGAAACTACCGACTCCGACGAAGAAAGTGACTCCGATATGGAGTCTGTGGTGGCTGGAAATGGCGATGATCTCGCCAACGACCAGATCGAAACATCCAACATCTTCGACCCTGAGCCCTCGTATGATGATCCCGACGACTACGACGAACCAAACATTTTCCACGGCGCTCAAGTCATGGGTGTCCCGGCCCAACACTCCATCGTTGACCTCGAAGTTTACCTTGCCGAAGATGAGGACGAGGTCCAAGATCTTCCACAGCTGGAGTTGGCTATCGATCAAGAGTCCTACGAACACTACTTTGGAACTGACGGAGCGATCGATCTGGAGATCGTTGGGGGGCGACTCGTCTGCACCGGAGAGCTTTTTGAGGAGGACCAGGAGATGACATTGGATGATGTGGCGGACCATATGGAGGTCTTGTCACTCACGGCTAGCGATGACGAACAGCTGGAAGCAGAGGACGGAGATGGGAGCGGCGAGGATGAGGGTTGAGAACTTTCATGATGACACCGGGAGTGCTAATGAGGCACATGTCCATCAGACTGAACCGGAGAATGGTATTTTAGCGGGAAGACTGGAGATGGGCATTTCTGATATTATGGGACAGAACTCGTACAGATTTGATTCTCGATCATGTCTTGTATCTAGACCCTTACGCACAGCCAGTATCTAAAAGCAATTGTTTTCAACACATTCCGACCGATCCTGTAAAATGACAACATGAAACATCAACCTTCCTTTTCCTTCAACACGTTTTCCCTTTTGACATGTCATCTTGCTCGCTTGAGAATATTCCTTCCATCCCTGTTGTAACCACAACAATAATACCTCTCACAGTTCATACTCTTACAGTTCATCCTCGTCAACGGGCATTGACATCTTAGGACGGTACGGTGCCCGCACAAACTTGGATAAACCTTCTACACGAGCGCATGTAGTCTCAGGAGGGCATGTAGTCTCAAGAGGAGCCTCAGGCATCTGCTGAAACAACTGCGCACTCTGGTAAACCTGGGCACTCTGCTGAACCTGAGAACTCTGAAGAACCAGGGAGTTCTGGTAAACTTGAGAATTCTGATAAACCTCGGGGTTCTGATAGCGTGCATTGTTCTGGATTGGAGGACTCTGTAAACCAAGGACCTGACCAATCTGCATCTCTAGCTTGGCGACCCGACTTTCTAGCTCTAGGTTTTTTCTCTCAAGCTCTTCCTGCTTATTGATCGAAGGCCCTCGCAGTCGAATCGTCTTCACAGTCCGAGCAGAGGTATTGTTTTGTGCGCCTGGGCCCGCAGGGTTGGTTCCACGACCAGCAGAGGGGCTTCCCGGGGTGACGACAATGGTCGACTCCTCTGCCTCTACGGGCGTGAGCAGTAGGTTCCGCGGAGTTCGCGTCGGGGTTGCGAACAAGTCCATGTTGAACTGACTGGGCATGAAAGCTGAAACCTCGCCAGCCCTCATGTGAGGTCTAGCGTTCGCGTGCAACTTGGCAGAGCGGACGTTGGAGTAGACTTTGCTTGATCCTTTGCAGCCGAACTTGATGCACATATAAGCACTTCCCTCGTCCAAAGCCACCATGCCCTCGATGTCCTCCACGATTTCCTCCGCAGGTTCCTCAGCTAGAGCATGAATGTTGGCACTGGCATGCTTTCGGGCGCTGGTGAGATGCTGATAGGTAGAGTTCATTCGCTTGCAGCCAGGCTTAACGCAAGTCCAGACGCCTTCCTCCATTGAATAATCCAGCCCGTCGAGATTCTCGTCTGCAGAGTCGGGCTCCTCGGCCAAGGCATGGCTGTCACCTATAGCGTGCTTTTTGGCATTGCCCAGATGAGAGAATAATTTGTTGAATTTTCGGCAACCGCGCTTGAGGCACCTCCAGCCGTCGCCGTCTCTCAAGGACTCCATGCCTTCGATATGTTCCACGGACTCGTCGGATGAAGTGACGATTTCCTCCGCAGCCATGATGTGAGTATCAGAGCTGTAGTGACTCTTGGCATTCCCAAGCCCTTTAATGACAACGTTAAACTTCTTGCAGCCCTGTTTAGTGCACTTCCAGAGTAATCCATCCTCCGCAACCTCCATGCCATGTACCGCGCTCTTCTTCCAGACTTCCTCGTCTGATTCGTTCGCGTCGGTAAACCCCAGGTCGAATTTGACATACCACCCGTCGCGATGTTCGTCGTCTTTCAGGTGGTTGAAGAATGATTTTGCTGTACTAAAGACTTCCCCGTGGCGGTGGCAGAGACGAGAAGTGCAGCGGAAAGAACGAAGACCTTCCTGCTCGGCCCGGAGCGCGGAGACAGTAGGGACAGTCGAGAGCAAGACCCTGTTCAGATTCGTGGCAATTCGGTGAGCGCCTGTGTCTGCGTGACGGTTGAACTCGGACTTGTACTTGTAATCCGTACCGTAGTGTTTGCAACAGGGCTCATTACAGATATTTCCATCTGCGGTAGAGGGCCCAAAAACATCATCTTCTGCGCTCTGATGACCAGAGTTGAGGAGGGACGGTGTGAACACCGAGTCGTTATCATCTGCAGTCTCATCCGCAGACCAGTCCTTGTGGCCACTTGACTTTTGGACATGCCCGCGAAAGAGGTCTTTTGTCTCAAAAGCTTCTCCGACCATCTCGCAGTCTTCATCCTCACAAACCCACAGCATGTTGTGCTTGCTTGCTTTAGCATGTCGTTGGAGTGCAGGCAGAGCAGCAAAGTGCACATAACACTGCCCGCACGCGTAAGGACCTTGGTGCCAGTTCTTGTCGTGCTTCTAGCACTCTTCGGCAGAGGCAAAGACCCAACCATCGCAGTCAATGTAGGGACAAGTGAAAGTGAACCGTTCCTCTTCGTTTGGGCACTCGATCCCGACGTAGTAGCCTTCAGGCACTCGGTGAAGAGGCTCGTCGTCGTCGAGCGACATGACAGAGGGAGTGTCTCCACTGGAAGACATGGTCGCACAGGGTGACGCGAGCGCGGAAGCCTGCGTTTGGGTCAGAGTGTGCAAGGGTGAAGTTGTGTTTGTACCTGTAGATGTGGCCCGAGAAAGAGGGGTCAACATGAAAAAGGAGGAGCCCAAGAAGGAGAAGAACGCCAGGGGCGTTGCTGGGTGACTGATGGGCTTGTGTAACTGTCACTGTCACTGGGCTGCTCTGACGCACAACGCAAAGAACCCCAACTATTTTCCAGAAGAACAATGATAATGACAATGACAATGAGGAAGGGATTCTTCCATTCATGGTTTAGGCGAAGAGTAAGTGCTGCGCTTCAGTGCCTGGCCCGGCAATGATAGAGACCAACTCGGTGTATCATATATCATGAGCCTTCTCATCCGGTATGGTGTAGTGGCTAATATTTCGCGCTCTCATCTTCAGCTGAGGGATCAGTGCCGCGGAGCCCAGGGTTCGATTCCCTGTACCGGAGTCCTCATCATTTTGCTGTTCTGTATCTTTTATTGTCTGCAAGCTGTATGCGTTCTCTCTCTTTTTGTCCTCAGGCGTGGTTTTATGGGATATGTTATAATGTCGGAGGCGAGAAGTATATAGAGCATGACTTCAAGCTCCCAGGCTATACATAACATAACCCGAGTTATTAAAAAGTTTTACTAAGATTTTATAAGTTGATCTAAGTCTTATTATAAGTTAGGGTCAAGATCTAAAGTTTAGACCAGCCTCCTCACCAACAGGACTCTACCATTGAAGGGACATATCCTGTCTTTTTTAGGCAGACTATACACCTCACTTACACAGTGTATGCAGGCTCGTTTGTACTTATTCGTTGTAACTGAGTAAAACTGAAAACAAAGGAGACTACAGCTTAGTAGGTTTACCCAACAGCTCACACGCTTAACTACCCCCATGCTTCCTCTTCAGATGCCTTTTCAGATGATCTCGTCTCGCAAAGTCCTTCCCGCAGTGCCTACATCTAGGCTTACTTCGACTAAGGCCCATCTTGGCTGCCTCGTCTGGGTGGTTACTCCAATAGTGCCTCTCCAGATCGCGGTTCCACTGGTGCCCCTTTCCGCAGATGCGACACTTCTCAGGCTTATCTTCTTTTCGCTTCTGCCTTCTGGGAGGAAGTGTTAGCATAGACGAATCAATGATGTAAGTCTGGTCAGGATGGCTTACTTCAAGTCACAAGGTCTGGTGCCTGGCTCCATCTTCGTTTTTCGTCGTCTGGTTGTTGTGCTTGGTGCGTTTTCCGCACTTTTTGTCCGTAAGGGGTTGGATATTTGTGACTGTGTCAGTCCTGTTGGACTCCTTTGAGTCATCGGTGAGGAAGAGCTTGTGTAATCAGCGGAGTAATTGGATTGCTCTGTGGTCGTTATAGAACCAGCAAGGGTAGTAGTGATGGGTTCGGTGGGCATCACCATGAAGTCCCAGTTCGTAGGTAAGATGTCAAGGTAAGTAGTATCTAGAGCTGGTAGCTCTTGAGTGTTATATAAAATAGGGTTGATATGATCGGAGTAAATGTCCAATGAGCTCGTATTCACTGAGTCGACTGTAACTGTAAAGGTTGTTTCCTGATGTACGTCGGCAAACGCTGCGTCATTCGTATCATATGTAGCATTCCATGGCAAGCTATCAAGACCGTTGCTTGAAAAGTCTACGACGAAGTCCTCTTCACTCATGAAGAGCAGACCATCGTCGGAGATCCGATCCTCCATTGTCTGTCGGGTTGGACGGGGCTTGCCACCAGTGGCTACGCGCATGAGATGTATGTTGGGAATTTGAGAATCGGAGGTCTTCGATGAAGAAGTTTTCGAAGGAGGAAAGTAATAGGACACCTTTTTACGACATATCCGGGTCCATTAATCGTGTTGGCTGACACTGTAAGTCTACTGCCACATCGAAGGACCAAGAAGCCGACATACCCAAGCAAAAAGTGAGAAAAACAATACGCAACAATGAAACAACTCCTTTTGAGATGGCTCGATCGCGCGCGTTGCTGATACACATTCCCGGCATCTGGCCGGATCTTGAAGGCCTACATATGGGTGTGTCTTTGCGCAATGACAACAGGACTATAGGTCTTCAAGATCCGGCCAAAGTTG